ATTATGATATTACTGAAAAGAGCATATTTTTAGCTTTCCAATGATGTATCGCACGCATGATGTTTCTGCGGAAAATAAGCGTTATTTTTCAATTTTTAAAATATTAAAGATTAAAATTCAAATTTTTAATTATAGTAGGCGAGGAAAACGCTAAATACTACTTAGTTACTATAGCAACGTGAGTTTACTTGTCATTTCATTCATGAATTTTGCGAAACGAGTTTCCCTATTAAGAAGTTCCGCATTATCTTTAAATAAAACAATAAAATTAAATATAATAAGTATATATTTGTAATATGGAATTGATAATAGAAAAACTATGGTCATAGCAATCAACTAGACATTTCGGCGGCCAAACCTATTTTTAGTTATAACTTCGTAATGCTGTATCCCATAATTTTGATTTTCTAGAACAATAACTAGAACAACTAGAACAAGCCAGAACAACAACGAAAATTTGATTTTTCCAAAAATGGGGGGCTAGTCAAAAAACCCGTTTTTTTCGGTTTTCTCGCGGTGTTTTTATTTTTTCGATTTGCCACTTTGGAACAATGTAGAACAACTCTAGAACAATCTAGAACAACAATAAAAAAATTGTTAATTCCTACCCTAATATTAACCTTCATAAACCCGAGCTGGGTACAGCTGTACCCCAGACATGAATTTTTGGGTATATTTTCAAAAAAATTTTTTTTCTTACTTTCCCTCGAGCTATGTTTCTTAAATATATATTATATCTAAATTGGTATACAAAATTTTGAATAAATTGCTTTTTATTGTAACTAATTATTTATAGAGGGTTTTGTAGCTTGGGGTCCAGCTGCACCCCGGTCGGTATGTAACGACAGGTATAAATTTTGCCTACGTTAAAAACCAATCGGGGTACAAATAAACCCCAAATTGTTCAAACGACGGGGATTCCCCGTTTCTTTGCGCCAACGCTCTCGGGGATTCCCAATTTATTTAATAGCGGCTTTGTGCACGTATTTATCTCAGTATAATTTTAGTGTGTTTAGTCACGTTTACAGTGATTGTCGAGTACGCGTTTATAAAAATGAGTGAACTACGGAAGTTTCGAAATGAAAATAAGCTAACTGACGAAGAACTATTGGCGATATTAGAAACGGACGATTGCGACACTTATTTTATTGATTTAGCACTACAGAGGATGGTGCAAGTGATATTGAAGAGACTGACATAGTGACTGAAACTGATTAGATAGATGACGTTTTACAAGTTAGTGGTAGGGAAAATGAGTCGACAGATTCTGCAGATGAAGTAGGCCCGTCAGTAAACTTTTATACCGATCATCCAACTTATTCGTCTAAAGATGGTAGTGTGTGGGCAAAGGTTCCTTTTATTACGAAGAGCAAGAGACGAAAATGTAATATTCAAAAGGTTTCACTAGGTTTGACTAGATATAGTTCCCAATTTTCCACCATAAAAGAAGCTTTTGAACTATTTTTTTCACAAGATATTATGGATGTGATTTTATCGGAGACGAATAGAAAAGCCGAATCATATTATGCGAGAAATGCGAAGATCTTTTCTCCTTTTGTGCAAGAAGAACTGAAAGCATTTATTGGTTTGCTTATTATTTTTGGAGCCTGGCACGCTGCTAAAGAGCCAATATGTGTACTATGGAGCCAAGATCCAACTTTATGTCGGCCTCTAGTATCATCTGCCTTGTCTCGCAACAGATTGCAACAGATTATGTACTTTCTAAGATTCAACAATTTTGAAACAAGAGAAAAAAGAAAACGCACTGATAAATTTGCCCCAACCAGAGATGTTTTTGTAACAAATTGCAAGATATCTTTTAATCCATCTGAACACTTGTGCGTGGATGAGTAGTTAAGTTAGTCCCATTCCGAGGCAAGGCTCCTTTTCGGGTTTACATGAAGAGTAAGCCAGACAAGTACGACTTAAAAATTTGGGCACTGGCTGATTGTAGTTCGGCATATACAGCGAATATGAAAAAAATGTAGATTTTTATTACAGAATAATAATTTTAGGCAAAGTAGGAAACAAACCGGAGAAAGGCCAAGGACAAAGGTTAGTGATGGACCTGGTAAACCATTTATCTTTAGGATATGGAATAACTACTGATCACTTTTTTACCAGTATTGAGTTAGCTAATAAGCTTTTAGATAAAAACCTTACATTGTGTGGTACACTGCGTAAAAATAAACCTTATATTCCAAAAGAACTACTTCCAGCAAGATATAAGAAAAACTTTTCAAGCATAGGGTGGAATCCCGAATTCCCCGTAGTATAGACATTATAGCGCTACTTGTTCAAAAATGGCGCATATTATTGAATTAAATTCATTTAATCGTCTTATAAAAATGTGTAAGTTATTAAAAAAGTAATAAATATGTATGTACATAAATATATGTATGTATTTAAAAACGTCGCAAAATTCTTACAAACATTTTTTGTCGTATTCCGAATAAATGCCTCATACCGTGCAAAATTTCGTTTCGTTAAAAGAGGACGTATTCTAAAGCAGTCGTATACCGAGGTTCCACTGTACATTCAAATTAAAAAAATCTAGAACTGAAACTGTTAATTTACGTCATCTTCTTCAATAGCGCTACACTCCAAATCAAGCTCTGACTTCTTCTATCGTTCGCCTTTAATGGTGTCCTAATTCAGCCATTTTCCTCCTAGTTGTCTTGGAAACATTTTCTTTGTGGCATATATCTCTGGTAGGCGTTGTTTATGTTATATATTGTTTCAAACAATATGTTGTAACATACCTCCGTAGCATACCACTGTACGGATAAGAGTTTCATATATGCGGAGTTTGAGATATCTGTGGATGTTTCAGGATCTCGTGATAAGTAAAGGGGAATAAAATACGCGGTTTTTGTATCTTATCGTTTTCGATTCCACTACTTCGAAGTTGATGTCTTCAATTGCAACACTGCTCGATACGATATCTCCTTCCGTCTTTCACTCTAAATCAGGAGTTTCATTTTGTCTTCCTTTATCCTTAACCTAACCTCTCGTCCAACAGTTTCGACTTTTTCAAGGGTGTTATTGACCGTGTGCAACGATGTGCCAAGAATGTTAAGGTCATCTACATATCTTGATGAGTATGAGCGCTAATCTGTCACTTTGTTTCTGTCTTGTAGACAGTTTGAACTCGTTTGAGAGTTGCCCTTCTAATTTGAATATATAATTCGAGTTGCATGTGCTGTATAACATTGTGTATTTGACCAGCCTCATATGCTAGCAGTCTCAAACTCCCAGAACTTTTCAATTAGTTGTTGACTATATGCTGTGCTAAGCAACGTTATTCCCCTGTAATCAATATCAGTGTATGTAGGGTGGTTGTAAATTGTTCTTTTCCATATTTTAATAGCCTGCCAACTTATTGTTTATGCCAAGCGATTTATTTGTTTTTTCATTTTTTGAGTGCGTGTCCGCAATTGATGGCGGATCGATATTTGGTTCATCTTCTTCTGTGCTTCTAAGTTTAACACGTATTGAGCCCTGGATGTATTCGTGGTTTTTTTGGAGTTTTTGGAAGAATTGTATCCATCGATTTATGATCTCCTATTTTTCTGTTAGCCAGTCTCCATATCTGGATTTGCTAAAGCAGTACCTTAGTTTATATCCTCTTTTGAAATGTTTCTCCACTTCTTTTCTTCTGTCTTAGTATCCTTTTAGTTCTCCTTTTTGAGTTCTCGTAAGTTATTTTCCTTTGATATCGAAGCAACCGATGTAATGCAGATTCAGGATGAGTCAAATGAAATCCCGTATTCATTAGGCGAGAAAATTAGGGCAATTTTAAATTTTTGCCAAGCAGAGAGAACTTTAAAAATGACTTTATATAGAAAAACAGCATTACAAAAAATATATGCGTATATTAATGCGTTACCCTGATTTTAGTGAATATTTGTACGAATGAAATATGTATTAGAAAAACAAAATTTGTTATATCTTTAAACCAACTGCTATACCACTCAAGTTAAATAACTCTCTAAAAGTACAAGTATTACTACCAGATCAAAATTTATATCGACCCATATTTTCAAATAATCAAAATCCCGTTAATTTACCAGTACGACGATCGGTATGAATTGTAGATGGATACCTACAATTTATACCTTTTTAATATAGATCCATTCAATATCAACCACCACGTTTTGATCAGAATAATTCTAGATTTAAATTTCCTAGGCCATCATAAAATCAAGTACTTATAAGACCACGAAATTTTAATTTTAATTCAACATTTGAGAACTCCCGTACAAAATCAACCACAGTATAAACCAACACCAATTATTGATGTAGATCCATTTAGTAATAAAATGCACAAAACAAAATTGAATAACGTAGAATTTGATAACATTTATTTTGATGAAAATATAGATCTACATTTTCAGTACGTAAATTTGGAAAATCTTGAAGACAATCTCGAATGTGTCACAGATGATATTGAACGTGAACCGGAGGAATTTCCTCAAATATCCGAAATAGAAAATAAAAATTTTGAAATAATAGCCTCAGAAGACTCCCCACAATCATAGAAATTAATGCCCAACTTTTCTAAATTATCATACATTATTATTCCCGAATCTCTTCAAAATTAGCTAATGAATTTTTCCCCAATTATTAATATTTCGAATATTTCCATTTAGTGTAAAAATTATGCATAGAACTACCGAGCATAAATACAAATTTAGGTAAAATTAATAGGTAATGAGCAATTAAACATTATGGAAATAAATTATAACTTTAGAAATAAATTAATGAAAATAATGTATGTAAATATCCCCTTTAAAATAAATTCATCATTTATCAAACTTCCAGCAAGGATAGGATAGATAGTTAGAACTCAAGGTAATCAGAAGCAAGGTTACTTTATCGCATGCAAACTCAGCAAAGTCAAACGTAGAAACACCTAATGCTTTACTAACTGTAAACAATTATGAATGAGTTTATAGATTTTAATGAATTTCCAGTAAAACTCGCAAAATCAATGATAAAAATACCTTAACTATAGTTGGTAAATATTATCCTCAACAAATTAGTATGCGATCAAAGAACAGAATTTAAAAACAAATTAATGAAGGAATTGTTAAAAATGTAGAAGAAAAATTAAAATTAATAAAACTTATGAACAAAAATATCCCAATTGAATTAGCGATCAATAGAGCACCTACCTTAGCATATATTCAACCATTCAAACTACTACAGGATTTACTCCTTTTAAATTGTATTTTGGACACTTTAGATGCGTTAGACGCCATTAATATCGATTTTGAAAGAAAAACTGCAGAACATTGCAGAACAGAAGATAAAATCAAAATCATAGATAAAATTGATGAAAACATAAAAGATATCAAAAATAGGCCAAATAGTATATCAGTTTAAAGATGCAAAAAGAAAATAAAATTAAAGTATAACGGTCCTAATAAAGTTGAAATAATCGCAATGCATAAAGTTAAAAATAAAACAAAGAATAGAAAAAATACATGTACTATATGCAAAAGAACTAAAACATAAAAACTGTACAAATACGCTAGTAGCAACATATTCGCAAGATCAGAACTGATAGAACAATAGTAAACCAGTTAGGAATTAGGCATAATATTGTGGACAAATAAATGAAAACAAAACTTAATTAGGAATTTTAGATTTAAACAACAATAATCAAAAACCACGTTTATTGTGTTAATTAACATAGCAGAAAATTTAATTAAAGCAATCACTAAAAATCTCGATGCATATGGATACATAGAATGTGCGCTGAATATCAAATAAACTGGGGGAATTCTGACAGAAACGATGAAGAAAAGCACAGGAAATGAGGATTTAGGTAATTATACACACATGTGATCTGTGATGGACAAGTCACACAGTGAACGAGTTCAAAAGAGTGAATATTAATTCAAAATAGGAGAAAAAGATAAAAATGTTTGGATACAACCTGGCTCTCATTGGAGTGTATGCCCCAAAAACCTATATCATCTCTTGTTAGCAGAATAGTATGAGCGGGGATTTATTCCTCATGGCAAATAATGAACAATAGGTGAAAAAAATTGTAGCAAAAGTGTTTTAGTTTCCTAGATATCCTAGAAATGTACTTTCAAATCAAGAATACATATAAGATTTTAAAATGACATTCACTTCGTCAGCTGCAATGTTGAATGCCTGTGTTAACCACTGTATGCCATCCTCAGTATCAGCCAAGAGGACGGCATCATCTACATAGCACTCAATCTTGATTTTGTACTTTGTAATGTTTGCCCTGTTCTAATCCTTTTATCCTTACTTTGTCGAACGTTTTGGTTAGATCAACAAAACAGAGGAAAGCTGCCTGACGTTTTTTCGCCGCAGTTCTATCTGATTCTTTTTGATGTTCTCAACATTTTCCTCAACATTGTGTGATCCGTACATGTCATTCTTTATCTCGTTACTAAATTTCGCCATGTATCATTTGTGTACGCAACTCTTGCAATCAAGAGGACATGAGCAAACGACCCACTCAAATGTATGTAAACATATCAGTCAACATATCGTATCAGTTCTAAACAGATGAGATAGTTTGGTGTTGCTGTGTAAGATGATTTCTGGAAGGAAAGACTGTACGCTTTGGAGATGATATGATAGCGCAGCCTAAATCCAAGGTGTTGGCGGATTGTCTTGGCAGCAGTTTGTATCTGATTTCGCAATCTTTGCTCAGTATTAACTTCGATGACGTACACTATGCTTTTTAAGTGATCCCAAAACAAAAAAGAAAGAGGATTGAGGTCGGACGATCGAGATGGAAAAGTCAATAGACTACCTCGACCTGCCCATCTTCCGGGAAGCACCTTATCTAGATATCGCCGCATATAACGGATATCTAGGAAATCTTTTACTACAATTTTTTTCACCTATTAGCCATTATTTGTCGTGAAGAATAAATCCCCAAATTTATGCGTATGTTGCGTAAAATTTATGCGTATGTTGCGTATTATGCGTAGGTTGAGAATCACCGTGTATTCTTTTTTATCAAGGAATAAATATGAATTGTAAACGGGTTCAACAGGCGGACACAAGATAGATAAGAAATGAGAAGATATAAAATTTATTTGTTCCAGCACGAAAGTATTAGAACTTCTCTGATAAAGAATACTGGAAAATGAATTATATACACTGGATCCAACGAAAAATATTTGAATATTTGAATAAGAGTATGAGCAAATGAATCAAACGATGCACAAAGTAGCAAAAGAAAGGAGGGTATAAGAGGGAAGATGAAAATATGTTACATAACAGAGGAATTAAAACAAGAAATAAAAGAAAAAGTAAATTAGACGAAACATTTAACACACAAGTCAGAAACTTTAAGAACAGAATACAAGACAGATGGCAGAGAAATACATATAAAATGATAACACAGAAGAATTAATACTGGGAAACAGAAGTATGCACAGGTTATTGCTTATAGTGCAGAAATAAGAGAAACAGTAGAAGGAAAGTTATCGGAAGACCAAAGCAGTTTTCCTCAGACATGTACGGATAACTTATTTATTCTATAATAGTTACAACTCAAAAAGACGAAGAGAAATTTATAGACCTTAAAAGACGTACAATAATACATCTAGAAATAATCTATGGAACCCACACTCACCTACGTGTCAAAAACTTGGACAATACAAGACAGATACAAATCAAAAATAAGTATCTGTGAAAAATAGTAGGAAAACCAGCAAGGACAGAGAGAAATAAGAGCGTCATAGAAGAATTAAGCTTAAAAGCTATGATAGAGAAGATAGAGGAGAAACAGTTGAAATGGTATGTTTTGCTTTTTTGTCTGGATATACAACGAAAGTTTATTAAGAATAAGTATCTTAATAACTTTATTAAGATAATTTTATCGTCGGCTGTAAAATGTGGCAACGGGTTTTGGGTGAGCAATTGAGTTAATTACAGCATCTAGGCTCATATATTTTCCGCCCTAAAATTCGTCAGTCACTTGCGGCCGAATTGCTGCAATATGTACGCCTCAACAACAATTCATACCACATTGATGCTAAGTTGAACAACACATGTAGTAGCGCCTGTGTAAACGATTTAAGCTAAACTAATTGTACAGAATCTACAACTTCACTTGATTAAGCCCAGGCGTTGCAATTAATACCATATCATAGCCCCAAGTGAGTTTCATTAATCTCAGCACAGACAATGTACTATTAATACTGCACCGATATTAAATACTCATATAAACCAGGCAAGGATTAATCAGGCAAAGACTAATATTTCTGATAGTTCTGATATTAGAGGTAGCTTGCGGCCGAGACGCTGTAATGTGTTACACAGTTGAGTTGATATGATATTAATTGTAAATCAAAACTCTTAGCTGAGAATTTGTCACTGCTTGCGGCTGAGGAGCTGCGATTAATACTGTATCGGTACTAAATTAATGACCAGTCATGTAGCAGCCTATAGCACATTAACCCAAAAGTAGCCATCACATTACACAACCTCGCCCGAAAGGAAACTAGACTTAATCAAGCATAAACCTATATCCTTTGTTGTGCCATTCGCCAAGGTTGCTTGCGGCCGAGGTTGTACAATTAATATCATATGAAATCAAAGCTGGTCAACACATCGCAATGCCTCAACCGCAAGCGACCTCTGCTAATATTGTAGTATGTAGTATGACTTTGTCTCATTATAATTAATATCATGTCAACTCAAAACATCGGAGGGATGGGAAAAATGCCAATGAAGATGTTCAATATGACACTACAAGGCAGAAAAAGACGGTGTAGATCAAGAATCTAGTAAGAATATAGAAAAGTGTTCCCGAAGTACGAAGAATAGCTAGAGGTAAGACAAAAGAAAGAAGAAGAAGAGAAATTGATAATAAATCGAAGTGTAAGAACATGGTTCTTTTCACTGCTTGGATACAATATACATTACTGTTACCTGAACTATAATAAATGAACAATGAAACAATACACTAGAAATAAAATGCCGAATAGGAAAAGCGAGGACAGTTTTCAATAAAATTAGCAAAATTTTGAAAAGTCACAACATATTCCTCGAAACAAAAGTAAGACATCTAAGATTGTATGATTTTTCGACACTGTTATATGTCACGAAATTCTGAACTTGGACAGAAGCCACAACTAAAAAACTTTAAGCCATTGAGATGTAACTGTGTAGACTTGGACTAGGCAGAAGAAAATTCTCGTGTCTGCGGAATCTTAGAATTTGGTTTGAAAAAACCTCTGCAGAATTGTTTCGAATTGCTGTTGTCAACAAAATCATAATTGCCAACATTCGAATCGGTTAGACACTAACCAGAATAAGAATTATTTAATTTATTTAGCAATGAAAAGTCAACAAATCTGAAAACTAGACATGTACTAACTGTACAAAGATATGAGTGTGATCATTTTTCAAAGGCAACAACAACGTTGTACACAATGACACAAACGATATAGATGTACAAGTAATTGATGATTTAAGTTTACCTTCTAAATTCTTTTAATACTGTGTTCCACTGTCCCCATTTAAGGACATAGACTGAGATAGATAGGTTTGAACTCATTTCCCATTTTTAATTATCTACCACAGCAGTTTTGCAGCAAAATAGGTCGTCTTTGTATTTGTTTTAAAGGATTTTTTATGAAAATTAAGAACGTTGTTGAAGACAGATTCTCATTTAAAGGTAAACAGATTAATTTAATAAATAATTATATAATGCTTACGTAATTTCAATATCAGCTACATCCTTCGTTTTTCTTCTAACTGTCTGATAACAACAATGAATATTGTTTGAGTACCAACTGTAAAGGTGCACCACAGATTTATTAATATACAGAAACGCTTGATCACCTTCATATATAATACTGGTTAACATTTCTTTTTTATCGCTGCACCTATAGGGAGTTTTCTTCTCATAAAATGGTTTAAATTCTGAATTCCATGGTATGACGTTAGGAATTTTACACTCATTGGTGTTGACTAAAAATTCTGCGAAACAAAAAAATTTATAAGTATAAAGTGATTAATTTCTGAGCTTTCATTTCATTTATCTATTGTAATATGGTCTATCAACCAGAATTTATTTTTCAACAAATTAATTTGATAACGCAGTGTAAACTTGATATCCTCGAAATGTTGCATGATTACGGTTATGTTTTTATTCTCCCACTTAATATTTAGTTAGATAGGAAAAGTAGTAATAGCCCGTTATTTTAATTAATTTTAATTGGATTTAATTTCTGTTATGTGAAATTAACTCCCAATTAGATAGGATTATAGTGTTTTGATTATAACAAGAGAACCTCTCCACCAATTTTGATGAATAAAATCATACTAGAAAGGTTAATACCTGGCCAATACGAAAGTGTAAATGTCCGATTAGAAATCTCTTTCGAATTCCGTTAAAATACCAAAATATTGCGAAAATAACACAAAAATGAACATTTTTAGGTGGTCATAAATCATAAATGATTATCAAAATCTCTACGTCATTCGATTCGCCATAGATTCCTCTATCGAAATCACAAACTGTCCGACCTCAATTGTTTTCCGTTAACCTTCTACAACCGTCAGAGTTAGAGTGAGGTGTGCGCCTACAATAAGAAAAAATTAACTTAGTTAATGTATGAATGGGATTCCACATATTTTATAAAAAAACTTTTTGTATGAAAGTTGTAGCTAATCTCATTCTTAACAATATTGCTCTTTTACACTTTTGATCTTAGATGCATAAATATCGACAAAAGTTCGAAAAGGTGAAAATTAGATGAAATCGTGGTTTTACATCCTGTTGTTGATAGAGAAGGGGATTCCGAACATTTTAGAAAACAAGTTTTACAATAAAAGTTGTGGCAAACTTTATTCTTAAGAATATTGCTCCTTTACGCTTTTATTCTCAGATGCATAAATATTGATAAAAGGTTGGAAAAGTTGAAAATAAAATTTATTCGTGGTTTTACATATTGTTGTTGGTAGAGCACGGAATTCGAACGATTTAGAAAAAAAATTTGTTATAAAAGTTGTAGAGACCTTTATTCTTAACAATATTGCTCTTTTGCACTTTTACTCGCAGATGCATAAATATCGAAAAAACGTTGGAAAAGGTGAAAATATGATGAAATCGTGGTTTTACAACTTGTTGTTGGTGTAGCACGGAATTCGGAATGATTTAGAAAAAAAGGTTTTGCTATACTTGTAGCAAACTTTATTCTTAGCAATAATGCTCTTTTGCATTTTTACTCTCAGATGCATAAATATTGAAAAAAGTTCGAAAAGGTGAAAATTAGATGAAACCGTGGTTTTACATCTTGTTGTTGATAGAGCACGGGATTCCGAACATTGCAGAAAAAAAGTTTTGGAATAAAAGTTGCAGCAAACTTTACTTTTAACAATATTGCCCCTTTAGATCTTTGCTCTTAGATGCATAAATATCGAAAAAAGGTTGGAAAAGGTGAAAATAAGATGAAATCGTGGTTTTACATCTTGTTGTGGGTAGAGCACGGAAATCGGAACGATTTAAAAAAAAGTTTTGCTATAAAAGTTGTAGCAAATTTATTCTTAATAATATTGCTCTTTTGCACTTTTACTCTCAGATGCATAAATATTGTAAAAAGTTCGACAACGTGGAAATTAGATGAAATCGTGGTTTTACATCTTGTTGTTGATAGAGCACGGGATTCCAAACATTGTAGAAAAAAGTTTTCGAATAAAAGTTGTAGCAAACTTTATTCTTAACAATATTGCTCCTTTGCACTTTTGCGCTCAGATGCATAAATATTGAAAAATGTTCGAAAAGGATAAAAATTAGATGAATTTGAGGTTTTCCATCTTGTTGATAAAGCACGGCAATCGGAAAGATTTAGAAAAAAAGTTTTGCTATAAAAGTTGTAGCAAACTTTATTCTTAACAATATTGCCCTTTTGCCCTTTTACTCTCAGATGTATAAATATCGAAAAAAGTTCGAAAACGTGGAAATTAGATGAAATTGAGGTTTTACATCTTGTTGTTGGTAGAGCACGGGATTCCGAACATTGCAGAAAAAAAGGTTTCGAGTAAAAGTTTTGCTATAAAAGTTGTAGCAAACTTTATTCTTAACTAAAGTAAGTAGCCTCGGCAATACACGACAAAGGTTAGATAATTGAAAAGGCCTCCTTTATCTTTACCAAGCTTTCGGAAATTTTATTTTTCCTTCCTCAGGGTAACTACAATATTGAGACAACAACAAAAGTTACAATAAAGGTATAAATTTATCTTAAATTACTTACAAAAGTGGATTGCACATAAAACCACATAAATCTCGTCTTGTTGTTGGTGGAGCACGGAATTCGGAACGATTTAGAAAAAAAGTTTTGCTATAAAAGTTGTAGCAAACTTTATTCTTAATAATATTGCTCTTTTGCACTTTTACTCTCAGATGTATAAATATCGAAAAAAGTTCGAAAAGGTGAAAATTAGATGAAATCGTGATTTTATATCTTGTTGTTGATAGAGCACGGGATTCCGACCATTGCAGAAAAAAAGTTTTAGAATAAAAGTTGTAGCAAACTTTATTTTTAACAATATTCCTCTTTTGCACTTTTACTCGCAGATGCATAAATATTGAAAAAAAGTACGAAAAGGTGAAAATTAGATGAAATCGTGGTTTTACATCTCGTTGTTTATAGAGAACGGGATTCCCAAAATTTTAGAAAAAAAGTTTTAGAATAATAGTTGTAGAAAACTTTATTCTTAACAATATTGCTCTTTTACACTTTTGGCTTCTGATGAACTTTCGGGCATTTTCATTTTCGTATTGGTCAAGGATTAAGCATTCCACTGAGATACTCTTGGTTAAAATCGGTTGAGAGCTTGTCTTATTACAATCAAAATACACGTAAAATCCAAACTAATTGGGAGCTAACTTCACACAAGTGTAATCTTGTACCAAATAAAAATGTTAGTATAAAATGAAAAGTGTTTCAGTTACCTGGGACTCCAAACTCTAAATTGGTTTGATCTCCATTCGTATCGTTCAGGAAAATTGCAATTCCAAAAATTGTGCATAGCATAACCAGAATGAAGATAAGAAGTAACAATAAAGCTTTTCGATAAAGGCATTGTGTGGATCCGTATACTATCCCGCATTTATGTTTACGCATATTATCTAATCGAATCTTTTAGGGATGAAGACGATGTATTTACCATGATACAATAATTCTAAAAAAGAGGAGGTTTTAATCATTAAACTAAAACTAGAACTAACTAGACCTAGAATCGTTCGGGTAAAGCTGTGCGTCGTTTGAAAAAGTGTTTGATCTTCTTCAGAAACAAGTTCGAAGTAACGAAATCACTTAGAGTTTGACAATATATTATACATAAAAAGATAATTAATAATCAATTAGCATCTTTCATGTGCGGTCTTTGGAAATAATGTCCGGTTCTTGCTAGGACCTTGGTCTTGTCGAAATCTATCGTGTATTCTTCTTTGTGCTAATGTTCTACGACTGCCGACTATTAGACCTAATTCAGTCTGACATCCGTTGTTCCAGTTTTGTTACTATCACCTTTGTCACCTGTTATCACCAATTTTTACATTGAGATATTTGTTAAAGACCGAAGCTATGACTATGCGACACTTTCGTGATCTGGCAATACGGAAAAGAGCGATTCCAGGAATTCCTAGACACACAGCTTAACCCGAAAGATTCTAGTTCCAGATTTAGCGTTAGTTCTAGTGATAATACTAGTGCTAGTTTTAGTTTAATTAACACAGGTTTCAATTATTTCTATTTACATTATAAAAATAAAAAATAATTATGCAATGGGAACTGGTTTAAACTATTTATTTGAGTGAAAATTAATTTTATCGCAAACCATGTTAAATTTGAAACGTTTTGATTTTAAAGTATAGTACTTTTGTTACACTCAGTTGTTGTTAAATATCTTCGTTAATTAAACTTCAAGATTTATTTATAACTAATCTATATCAGTCCGAAGTATTCATTTTTATTCCAAACAATAAGACTATGTATATTAAATATTTTAAACAATAATCAATTTATATATTCTAACAATAGATTAATTAATAGATTCAAACAAAGCAAATCGATAGTAAATTGGTACCAAATGATTGAAAAAGTATATTTATTTGTTTAACTGACCTTAACCTTTCCTTCTTGACGACCTCGATACGCACATAACTAACGATTTAATCAAAATGTTGGTACATTGTACGTAATATTAAATGAAATTGCAGGAAAATCGTTAAACCGCCGCACGTGTTTGATGGCACTACGTCTACAGCAACGCTACAAAACAATTTAGGTAGTCTGGAAGAGACGAGGCAGACCCGACCGAACAGAACGGTTTTACTCGGACCGAAGAAGAGTGGGGAATGTATATATAGTTGGGTGGCTAAAACGTTCGAGGATCGATGGTTGTTTGCCACCGAATTTCTAAACACGCTGTATTCGGAGAAAGACCTTTCTCATTCAGTGTATCGATCCAGTAAAAACTAAGTTCACCACGCAAGACAAAAAGGTGTGTCAAATTAATTTCAAATTGAATAATTTGTCTGCCGTATCTGATTGAATTTTATTTATAAAACCAACTAAGGGAAACATTCAACTCTTTAATTTCCTTTCGCTTAGCCTTCTATACAAAAGAAATAAATTATAAGTTGGTTTCTTTTCTCTATGTACCTACTTACATCACATTTTCATTATGAGATATTTTGGGATAGTTTTTTTGAAAACGTTGTGTTGCAAGGTTATTGGTGTATACTTTAAATTATTTTCATAAGAAAATACAATAAACACACTGCACGTACTGCGATATACTAAACTACATGTTTGAAATGAATATTTCTTATTACAGCATAATTTTTAAAAATACGTATCTTCTTAAGTTATGAATTAAGAAGTTATAAATTCATAATACAAATCGTTTCTTTATTCCCATAAATAAGGTCTGAATGAATTTTTAAAGATTGATTTTGACATTTCTTCACTGGATTGAAAACAAGCGTATTCATATAAGCTTGTATTTATTCACGGCCGGTATTAGTACAAACAAAATTAAATCTAGTAAGTTTCGTATGGTGCAACCTTCTTCAGAAACAAGTTCAAATCTAATAAAATCAGTTCGATGTTCTCTATAACTTGTTTTATTGCGACATCTACAATCCAAACCCAGATACCTTTGACTTGGACTCATACTCCCTGCTCTACGCTGACGACACCACTTTGGTGACACACGGCGCAAATATCACATCCGCAATCCAAAGGCTTCAGGCGCTAATCCAATCCACGGAGAGTTCGCTGGAAAAATGAACAATCCAAGTTAACCCATCCAAAACCCAATTTTTCATCCCATTTCTTCCCATCCCTGCTCCTTCTCCCTCCGTAACCATCCAATCCACGATCATATCCCCCTCAACAAGCTGTAAATACCTGGGAATCTCGATAGACAAGATTGAAATTTTCCGACCATGCTATCAAGGTAAAGATGAAAGCGACAATTCGAGCAAAGCACTTCAGATCGTTAACATATCAGGGACGCGGCATATCAACAAAATGCGCCGCTCATATTTGCAAAACCATCTGCGGACCGATAGTGGAATATGCACCGCTGATCCTCGCTGACGCATCTATACCATCTAGAAGTAGCCGAAAGATCCGACTCCCCAAAACCCACTCTTCAATCCCAGCAACAAACTCCTCTACAATCTTACCGAGATCCCTCCAATCCATTTCCGTCTAAAATCGCTATCACACAATGCTGCCATCAACTTCCCTATTGATTCTTTAAAAAACTTACTCATCCTCGTTTTCTCTCTCTCAGTTCGGTGTGAACTAGGGGATCATTCATGATATGTTTATATGGCCACGCTGATCCTCTGGTGGTAGCCTGGAAAGTATTTTTTTCTACTATTTGTGTATATAATTTTCTTATGTATAATAATCTTATGCAGTGGTGTAATGTAGTCTGTGCGACCTTTAAGGAGGGGTTGTTTACTAACAGCCTCACTTCAGAGCTTGCTCCGGACTATTCCCATTTTAACAACCAGCTAGTCATTTACTGATCGCAGACGAAACAATGCCATCACGCCCACCTCCCTGATAAAAATATCTAGGGACAGCACGTTCAACATAGTCACCATTGCAATCGTAGGTGTAGATCTTATAGCGCCTGTCATTAGCAGGCGGGCCAGCCGTTGCAAATGATGCAGCAATGTAGCTTTATATGCATGTTTCAATGTTCCATGGTTCCATGGTGGCGTTAAGTGTCCCAGTTTCTTCTATTTAGCGAAGAGAACAGTCTCTGTCTTTTCAGGATTGACAGAGAGGGTATGTTCTTCACACCATCGTTCAACAAGTTTAAGCGCCTGCTGCATTCTGTAACAAAGAAAATTGTCAGGTTTACCTCTTAACAAGATAGCCACGTCGTCGGCGTAACCAACTGTGAAGAGATATTTATTATTTAACTCACGAATGAGATCATCAACTATTAAGCACCAGAGAAGCGATGAAAGTACCCTTAACTACAGCTCTCTGTACTGTGTGTCCTTTCGCCTTAGCCTGAACAACTCTGTTTGCTAACATTGTTTTTATCCAGCCCACGATGTCCAATGGCACTCTTCGAGATTCCAGTGCCAGGTTAATGCTACTAAAGGTGGTTTTGTCAAACGCTCCCTCTATGTCAAGGAAAGTTCCCAGAATGGACTCTTTTGAATCAACTGCTTGTTCGATGCGCCCCACTACCATTGTGTAGGGTGCTATCCACAGATTTACCTTTGATATAAGCATGTTGGTGCAAGTGCAAAGAAAACGCTTTAAGTACATTCTCTCTAATGTAATGTTCAAATAGTCTTTTAAGCGACTTTAAAAGAAATGATGAGAGACTAATTGGTCGAAAGGCTTTAGGATCCGGTGGGTCCTTTTTCACATTCTTTGGTATAAAGGTTACTGTAACCTTCCTCCAGCTGATGGAAACGTAATTAAAGGCTAAGCAGGCTTTAAAAACTCTCATCAAGTGTATTTTCATATCCTCTAGACTTCATTGAAGAAGAGCAGGAAATATACCGTCGGGTCCTGGTGTTTTGAAGGGCTCAAAACTGCCAACGGCCCACTCTACCAACTCATTCCGTACAACCTGGTCAGCTATCTGCCAGTCCTGGCTGCTAGGAAAGTTGTTAAATTCCACTTGGTGTAGAAGCATTGAAAAATCTTGCAAAGAACCTGGAAAATGATTGGATATCAACAAAATGCGCCGCTCATATTTACAAAACCATCTGCGGACCGATAGTGGAATATACACCGCTGATCTTCGCTGACGCATCTAGAGGAGCCCTATACCATCTAGAAGTAGCCGAAAGATCTGCCCTTAGATGCATTACACGAATCCGACATCCCCAAAACCCACTCTTCAATCCCAGCAACGAACTCCTATACAATCTTACCGAGATCCCTCCAATCCATTTCCGTCTAAAATCGCTATCCCACAATGCTGCCATCAACTTCCCTATTGATTCTTTAAAAAACTTACTCATCCTCGTTTTCTTTCTCTCAGTTCGGTGTGGACTAGAAAGCATTTTTTTCAACTATTTTTGTATATAATTTTCTTATATATAATAATCTTATGCAGTGTTTCCACATTTGCACGACAATCATTAGACTCTTGGTCCCATTCACGGAGGAAGTTTGTCCTTTGCTTTCGGGAATGCGTTTCGCAACTTCTTGACTCTCCCATGTCTCACTACAGTGTAGTCAATTTTTAGTCGCGTGGCTATCAGTTTCTTTAAATCTGAAACAATGCGAAGAAACCCACAGATTGACTACTTACCATATCTATTGTCTGTAGCTGCATCTCCTTGTTCGCCCGTCGGATGTCCTTCGACGTAGTATCATTCTTTTGGAGTACCTCTTTTAGGATGTTCATGGTTGAGTTATCCATTGTTGGTCTTAGTTTGTGAATATTTTCAGAACCAACAGTACTAGCGAAGAGATTAAATTTCGTAGTCGTTCCAAAACGAGTGCCAAAGGTAAAAATTACGTATGAACTAGAGCACTTTCTTTTCACCTCGACTTTTCGACTGAAAATACTCGAGGAGGTACAACCGTAATCATAAAATATAATATGCAATACTTCCAAAGGAGTATTACATATATATAGGACAAAAGAAAGTATGAAATGCTAGCCACCATGAGCAATAGCGCCGAAAAAAATTGACTTGACGAAATAACAATGCAAAGAATTGTTTGCAAAATTAGGTTCAAGGTCCATAATTGAAGAAAACTTCAATGTTAAACTCACCGTATTGGGTTGATAACGCCTGGTATTCACTGCCTTAAATTGCTGAATGATATTAATACCGTAACTGCTCACTTATCATTCAGGTGGTGAGTCCACTTATTGGCCCACCGACAACAATAAAGTGCCAGACCTGCTGGACTTCTTCATCTCTAAGAGCATCTCAACAAGTCAAAGCAATACTCAAAATGTGAATTGGCATGTTTACACGTCCCAGTTTTATTAACCATTAGTGCGACAGTCATCAAAAAAGCAATAAAAGAAAATCTTACTAACAAATATAGTGATTCGGACAAGTTCAAAGTAAGGCTAAAAAACGTAATTGGTTTAAACGCAAGATTAAAAATGAAGATGATCTTGAAGCGCAGGCGCAAAATCTGATACAATAAATTCGAGTAGTATAAAGGAGGCTACTCCCTGTAGCAAAAGAAAACATAATATGAAGTTAATTACGTTAAGTTATAAAAAAGCAAGAAGCAAGAAGAATACGACATAACTCCAGAAATTTTGCAGATAAAAGAAAATTTAACCGAGTAAGCAATCTAACGAAACAAAAAATTAAATAATTTAATCAGGAAACAGATAGAGAAAAAAAACAACTCGTGAATTCAAATGAGCAACTCTTCATGTTAAGCCGATTAAAAATGCACACAATCTATGAGTACATACATCTAGTGTATTTCAACCGTACAAAATATAATTTGAAAACTATATAAAAATAACATTTTTGCCGATTTTTGCTTCAAACTATGTCGGATAATAGTAAAAGCCAGTGGGTAGATGATAGTATCCAAAGATATTAGATATACCTTACCATACAGCATGTTCATCATCGTCTCTACCTTGATAGCAGACTAAGATAAAGATGAACTGGAAGCATAAAATTAAATAGTCAACTGAGTAGATCAGACTCAAAACTATACAAATATACTAATTAATTGGTAGATTCTCTCAACATCTGCGATCAATAAGACTAGTTTAACAGTTCATAATTTAACCTATCTGGACTCGCTGTGGGCTGTACTAAGACATCTAATCAATTGATCATTCAACGTAGTCAAAACAAATTAGACTGATTACTAGGGCACAGAACTTTTGTAAGAAAACGATACGATTTCCCACCTCCACTTGTTCTCATTGGCTAGTTTTCTGGGTTTGTTTTCTAGGAAGCCACTGAGAACAAGTCAAGGGGGGAAATCGTATCCTTCTGTTACAAAAGTTCCGTGCCTTACTGATTACCAATGCTTATCGTCGAGTGATTACGAAAATCGACCTATAGTAAAAAAAATTAAATATGACCAAAAATACAAATAGGAATGTGAAAGAATACTACCATTTAAAGGTTGGTTGGAAAAAAGTTAAAAAGACCAGTCCTTTTGTCTGGTTTGGGCTGCTTTGTGCAAATCGTGCGATAAACAAATTAACATAAAAAGTGTATTAGGACTTTTAACACGACTTGTTAAACAAAAAAGTATTTTATCATTTGTAAAATCGGGTACACCAGCCATTACGCAAAAAGAAGAATTTAAAGAGGGTAACCATAGAGTATGAAGTACAATATTTGTCAACATGATAGTTTTTTGTTAATACATGAAAACATTTATTTTAGTGAAAATATGTTTACCTGCCATACTGACAGAGAATAATCTACCATTCATCATAGAATGGCTTCCGAAATTAATTTGAATGAATTGAAATTATATACAGTTTGTTATGATTCAAAAATTGCTAAAGGGCTAAAATGCAATATCATAAAAACTTCTGCTATTGTAAAAAATATTCTGGAACATTTACGTTTGGTGGTGCGGTAATTGAATATTTTGATAATATTCAAGACATCTTCAAGGCACTTTCTGGGAGACAGGAAGAGATACATACTTTCTTTTTCAAGAATTTTGTGTTATCAAGACCACAACTGGCTCATACTCGATGGTTGATAACCATCGTACACAATGTTGTCACTCGAATTTTACAACAATATCGTACCTTACGATATAAGTAACAGTTATTATACAGTAATAACAAGTGGCATATTAGCCACAGAAAACAGTTTTCAGAGTACCACTCATTAAAAAAATGTTTCTCTTCTTTTGTATAGTACCCAGCTGAAGAAGCAAAAGCCTCATCAAGTACATATATATAAGGGGTCGTTGATAGTGACTTCAGGGTCCTACAATCCGTGCGAAAAGTCAAGGCCCTCATTTTAGAGATCGATATTGTGGCAAAGTTTGTTATAATTACTGAACATTTCTACGTAACATATGTTAATTTGATAACTTGCAGATTCGCGATTTTCTTTTTATCAAAACAGTACCCGATGTTTTACGGTGCCAGCAATTTTGTCCACTTTGCGAAAGATGGTCCTGGTGCGTGTTCCAAAAACAGGACGCACACTTAAGAAAAAAATTGTCAGTCAAAGATTACTTAACACATAATTGCGGATCCTATTTATAGTTGTGATGATTTTCGTTATTTTGTTGCTATCTTTTGGCTTTAATGTTTGTATTTTCTAAACATACGACATTTGAAATGTACTATGCATTATTTTCGTGTAAAGTGATCAATTATCTATAATAATTGGTCTCTTACAAAACTTTCATCAAAGCAATAGCTTTTAAGAAAAACACTTTTGTAGAAAATTTGTTAATCAAATCAAAAGCTGTTGCTTCTATCAAAGTTTTCATTTTACACGAAAATACTGCCCGTTTGACAAAATTAGTAGTGGCATTGAAAATATTTAAAAAAAGGGTTTTTTATTGTAGATAATGTTTAATTTTAAAGAAACTTTGACACCCCTATATCTCGTTAAGGTTGCATTTGCAAGACCCACTTTTCGTCTTAATTTTTGATGTATTACCTGTCCTAGAAGTCTGTCAGCGGTTTTTTGAATCATCCTGTATATGACCTAAAACAAAATGAGTTTAAAGCATACTGCTTTAATATTGCAGAGAAGTTGTTAACCTTTATGGCTGGTACTATATGCCTACTAGCGTTTTAACCAACAAAATTTTAATTCATGGAGCTGTAGTGATTAAAGAGTCGCTATTATCCATGGAGAGCTATCCGAAGAGGCTCTACAGGTGAAAAACAAACAAGTGCACAGATTTAGAGAGTGTCACACAAGAAAATGTGGTAGACTTCAAACAAATGAAGACTTATTTAAAAGATTATTACTCAGCTCCGATCCATTTATTAGTAATTTCCAAAAAGAAAGTTCAGAAAAGTATAAAAATATGAATGAAAACGTGAAAAATTTTGTTAATATTGGACGAATCTTCAGAAGAAAACGAAGGTAAAGAAGAAGATGATGATGAAAAAAGTGAAGAAGATAATAGGATGAAGAAGAAAATGAATAAATTTTGTTATATTCGTGAACATAACAAAATATTTTATATTACACCATATGAGATATTATAACAATGAATTATTTTCCAATAATTTGAAATGTTTGTGGACTATGTCAGTGTCAAGGGAAAATTCTTCTATGAGTAGGCTTCAAACCTACAAATTATGGTTTCCAACATCACTTCAAATTAAGAGCGATGATGATGTATGAACATTTTTAGTAAAAGCTAGGTAAAATTAAGTTATCTATTATCCGTGCAAAAAGTCAAGACCACTCACTTTCGAGATCCATATCTGCGTAACCGCTCGATGAAAAAAATTACGGTAAGTTTATTATAATCAGTGAACATTTCTGCGTATCACATGTTAATTTGGAAATTTTTCGGTTTGCGGTTTTTCTTTTATCGCCCGTTAAGTGTTAAAAGTATCCAATTTTTGAGAGTGCCAGCAACTTTTTTTTTAATTTAAAACTATTTGACGAAAAAATTTCAAATTTGAACTGGTGGTAAACTGATGTGTTCTTAATGTGGGGCATATTTTCTTTTTTCGATATTCCATATAGTTTCGTGGAAAATCGCGGTTTAGTAGGATGTGGTTATTTCGAAAACGACCTGGCGGATTTCAACGCGGTTTTTACTAAAATATATATACTAAAATAATGTCGGTTGTCGGATTCCGTTATGAGTTTTTCAAAATTAGGGCTCCCTAATTTTTTAAGAGCGATTTAATGGAATTACAAATTAAAGAGAAACAGAAATATTCCGTCCAATCGGAACAGATGGTGTGTCTCAGACAGTACATAAAGGCGCGACCTTTATCTTACCTACATAAAGAAATAAATGTAAACGATGAAAATTATAATTAATTTATTTTTGTACTTTTCTTCTGGTTTATTATTCTTAAATTCAGCTTAACATGTTTCGACAAACATCATCTTCAAAAGCGCTACGATACGATATTGACAATATTTAATTGAATTTATAAAATTAAAAAGAAAGACTTACTCGTTAAATTTAAAAAATTGAGTTCAAAAAACCCACGTGCACTTTCAACATTTTAAAGGTATTACTATTACTTTTCTTTGTCACAATATTAAAGATGATTGCAAATTAAATTTATAAAATCAAAATTTCGTAGAAAATATTTAAAATATAACACATTAACGCGTAGAAAGGTTAAAAAGTAAAGTTACATCGGACGGACATTACAAGTAAATGAAGTAAAATGGATGGACTTGCAAGAATAATTCAAGTTTTTGTTTCTGTTTGCACTGTATACTGCGGACATGGAGGATAGATTGAGGAAGGGGCAAGTGGGAGGGTTGGTGGTGGGAGGTAGAAAGGTGCATATGTTAGCATACGCGGATGACATCGTGATCATGGCGAGAGAAGCGGCGGAGATGAAGGATATGATAAAGACATTGGAAAGATATTTTAGGGGGAAGACAAGGATGATGAAGTTTTATAAAGGTGGGAGAAAAAGAACAGAAAACTGGAAATGGGAGGGAAAAGAGATCGAGGAGGTTAGGGAGTATACTTACTTGGGGTATGTGTTTAGGGAGGACAACAGGGAGGGGTCGCATGTGATAGCTATGGCAAAAAAGGCGAATAAGGTGATGGGACAAGTATGGGGTTGGGGGAAGAGAGTCTTTGGAAGGAATGTGGCAGCGAGGAAGATTATGTTTGAAGGTCTGGTTAGCAGTGTGATGATGAATGGGGCAGAGGTATGGGGATGGAGAGAGCAGGCAAGGCTGGAGGACGTGCAAGGTAGATATTGGAGATGGGTGCTTGGGGTGGCGAGAGAAACACCGGGGTATATAGTGAGGGAAGAGGTAAAGGTGGATAAAGTCAGAGTGAAGGCGGGCAGGAGGGCAGTAAAATATGAAGAAAGAATAGAATGGAGTCCAAACTGCGGGATCTTGGGGGAGTGTTGGAGGGAAAGATCAGATATGGAAAAGGAGACAGAGACAACTATTATAGACGAGCGGGCTAGTCGGTAACTGAGATAAATAGTAGACGAAGGGTGGGTAGGGAGATGTGGAGGGATTTGAGAGATAGGGACCGAGATGTGCAGAGACAGGAAAGAAGGACACAAATAAAAGAGGGGAATTACGAAGGGGCTGCCTAGATACTTGTTATTGGAAGGAGAAGAGGAAGGGAAGAAGTTGGTGGTTAGGTTCCGTTGTGGAAACGAGGAGAGAGCTAACAGATACTGGATGGCCGATGAGGAGAGGTGGTGTAGGCTATGCAGTTTTTTCAATGTTATTTCCATTCTATAATTGCATTGAATTTACTATTAATATTAATTATATTTGAGGCGATAATGATACAGCATATCAAACAGAAGTAGATTCGATATTTTATTTTTTCGCGTAAAACTTCCTTAGAATTAATGTATGTATGTAGAAGTGTTATAATGCCACAATTCTCAAAAAATAGGCCCCTTTGTCTTATATAGATTTGCCAAATACCAAATTTTTCGCTACTATAGTATAGTTCCTCTATAAAACAATTTAGCATGAATTTAAGTAAAGTACTACTTCCGTACTATTTCCGGTTGACGAATTTAATTCAAATTTTGACACAACATTTCCCTTTTGGTCTTTTAGTCATATGCCAAGTTTCATAAAGCTAGCTATGAAGCAAAATAATATTTTCGATCGGGTTTTCTTGCAGCTCGAATACCACGTGGCTCCTTTATTTGTTTATCTACGTAAGATAAGATAACTTTGCAAAACTAATAACAGTTTACTAAGACGCCTTTATGTCGAAAACGACTAGGTGGAGTGCATCGCGGATTTGACCAAAACACGTCAAATAATTTCGTTTATCGGATACCGTTATTAGTTTTTCAAAGTTATCTTACCTTACCTACATAAACAAATAAAGGCTCCAACAATGTATGGCAATAATACATTTACAGATAAATGCAAACATAAGCTTTATCCATTTAAATCTTTCGTCATTGATGAATGATCTTATGCTTTTCAAAGTCAGAATCTCATTTCGCAGTTTTCGCAAAAACTAGGGAATTACTTAGGATTTTAAAAATATATTAATTTTTGATTAAACGGTGCTGATTTTACAAGAAATGTTGTAATTCAAATTGTTTATTGGTGATCATATCATTACAATGATTTTCACAAGTCACAAGAAAAGTACAAAATACGAATTAAAAAAAAAAGTACATATAAAATACAAAGTGTAAGGGACATCAGAAGGGCGCGACAGGTCAAAACCGATTCAGAGTTTCAAGTTGAGAAATTTCATATTGGGAAATTTATCAAAGCAAAATAAAAGCAAATAAAGTGGACGTGGCCCCTTTATTTGTTTATCTATGTAAGATAAGATAACTTTGGAAAACTAATAACACTTTACTAAGACGCCTTTATGTCGAAAACGACTAGGTGGAGTGCATCGCGGATTTGACCAAAACATGTCAAATAATTGCGTTTATCGGATACCGTTATTAGTTTTTCAACGTTATCTTACCTTACCTACACTCGTGATCTTTTTAAATGAAAATTAAAGAAGGATGGCTAGCTCGAAGTCGGGGAAGGTCGGGTTGGTTTACTTTGAAACCCTGCGCGAGGCTAAGGGGCCGGAGTAATCACGACGGACAAAGCAGGTAGAGAAGGAGTAATTTAGAATTTGTCACTACGGGATTTTTAAATAGGTTTATTGTAATAGAAACCAGCTAAATATTCGATTAAATTATCGAAAATAGCATAATAAATTATTTAATGTATTATGTTTTATTAAAAAATGATTTTTGGAAAACAAATAAAAATTGTTCCTAATTTAAATCAATTTTATGATGATAACTATTAAAATATAAATACAGAAAAAATATTAAATGATAATATTATTACAGTAAAACTTAATTTAGATGATTTTCGAACAATTGATTCGATTGTATTGATTGTGCAGTTTCAATTATTTAATGTGTTTCAATTATTGTTTCTAATTTAAATCAATTTCATGATGATAATATATTAAGATATTAATACTGATTAATTATTAATATTATTACAGTGTGATTCAAAACTTCTTTTATCAAAAGTTAAAAAACGTAGAACGTTTTGTCACTAAAAGTTTTTTGTTTTTTTGCTCCGTTTTAATTTTTTCTATATTTCAACCAATTAAATTATCGTATCTCTACCAAATCTGAATGAAAACATACGGCTTCAAAACACACCACCTGAACATTATAAAGTATTAAGATTT